AAGTCAAGCATTTAAGTGCCTACTAGGTGCCAGGCCCTGTGCTAAGTGCTGGGAATACAAAGAAAGGCCAAAAAAGTCCCTGCTTTCAAGCTCACCGTCTAGTACAGACAACAGGCCACCAACCATATATTAACAAGGTATATACAGGGTAAATTGGAACTAATCTTACAAGGAAGACACTAGCATTAAGAGAGACCTGGAATGTTTTTTTGTAGAAGATGAGATTTTAGCTACAACTTGAAAGCGACCAGGAAAGCCAGGAGGTAGAGATGGAGAGAGAAAATTCCCAGGATTGGGGGTCTCTGCCAGTGAAAATACTGGAACTGAGAGATGGAGTGTCGTTTGGGGGAAACAACAAGGAGGCCAGTATAACTGGATCCCAGAGTTTATTGTCAGGAGGAGTGTAAGATAGAAGACTGGAAAGGTGTCGGGAGAGGGAGAAGCACATTATGAAAGACCTTTAACAACCAAGCATTGTGAATTTTATCCTGGAAGTGATAGGAATTGAATAAGATGGGAGGAGGGGGGGCAACTTGGTCAGATCTTCACTTTAGAAAGACCACTTTGAAAGCTGAGTGGTGGGGCAGCTAGGTGATGCAGCGGATAGAGCACCGGCCCTGGATTCAGGAGGACCTGAGTTCAAATCTGGCCTCAGACAAGTAACACTTACATAACACTTGTGTGACCCTGGGCAAAGTCACTTAACCCCATTGCCTAACCAAAAAAAAAAAAGTTCGGTGGAGGAAGGACTACAGTGGGGAGAGAAGAGGCAGAAAGACCAATGAGAAGGCTGTTGCAATTGCCCAAATGTGAGATGTTGAGAGCCTTCACAGGGATAGTGGCAGTGTCAGAGGAGAGATGTTACAAATATAGAATTAACAGGACTTGGCAACTGATTGAATGTGGAGGGGGAAGGGTGGTTAGAGTGAAGAGTCTATGACACACATGGGTTGCCAGCCTTGATAACTGGTAGGTTACCTGAAGAAAAAAAAAGAGAATTAGGAAGAGGGGAGGGTTGGGGGGTAAAGATAAGTTCTGTTTTGGATAGGTTGAGTTTGAGATATCAACAGCCCATCCAGTTGGAGATACCTGCCCAGTAGGCAGTTGAAAATCACTGTGAGAGTTAGAAGAGGGGTTAGATCTGGCTAAAGCTGAGAATCATTGGTATAGAGATGGTAATTGAAATTGAAACCATAAGAGCTGATGGGATCACCAATCAAAGTAGCATAGAAGAAGAAAAGAGGCCCTAGCACAGAGCCCTGAAATAGTACAAGTCTCATTAGTCTCTAATTTCTAATCTCTGCACCCCTGCAAGATTACCCTTCTACATCAGTTCTGATCCAGCCATTGCCTTACTGGGAACATTGAATGGCTTTTCATGGTCTTTAATCTGGCCAAACTGCACCACTCGATGTCTACCAAAACACACCAGGTCTTTTCCTTCCTCTGCACTTTCCCTTAGGTTTTCTTCTGCCTGAATTGTCCAGCTATCAAAATCCTACCCATCCTTTAGACCTGGTTCTGGTTCCACATGCTACACTAAACCCAGCATGACCCTTGAACTGGGATGTGCCTTCTCCCCTCTAAAGTCTAATAACAGTTGGTTTATACCTTTCTTATGGTATTACTATCCTTGTATTTTGTTCTAATCTGCCCTGGGGCTAATAAACCCCATAAGCACAAAGACTGCCCTGTTCATGTTTGTATCTCTCTCAGTGCTTTGAGTACAGTAGGCATCAAAGAAGTATTTGTTGACGTAGATGGACAGCTTTTCACAAATTAGAGATAATAAATCTAAGTAATTGAGAATTGTGTTTGGAGAAACCCACAAAATGAGCCTTTGACATAAGAAGCTTACAAATCTAATAGTCTTTTCATTCCTTTCCATTTATTTCTCTCCATTGTGTTCACTTTGGGGATATAACTATTAGAATAATTCAGGGTTTTCCCCTTATATGCTGAAAGCATGAGACGTTTCATAAATGAAGAACTACATTATTAGCCGACATAAAAATTGGTATTGATCAGTTATGGGCCCAAATTTTGTACTCAGTTGAATTAGAAAATCTCTGAATCTAAACAAAACAAGACTAAAAACAGTGCTCCCACCTCCCATTAAAAATAATGTTCCTTTGTTCCGGTGCTCATGATCCTCCAAATTTACTCAATACACACATTTTTGCTGAGGATAACTCTATTCAGACCTTTAAGTCCCAGACACAAACCTTGCCTGCACATAGTTCTGTATTGATGTATCCCAAAGTATTATGCTTTAGAGGTATTGGTAAGAATGTGCATCTTGGCAAAATCAGTGTGCTGGACATGTGGAAATTGCCCAGGCAGACCATTTAAAATTAAGGTTAACTAAGTGATGTCCTCAAGATTTGTTTTTGTTAGATTATGGATTAATTATGAGAATGAATGTATTAGGGGAAAAAAATCATATGAAGTGAACCAAAAGAGGCTGAAGTGAGAGTGATTATTATTAATAATTACTGGAAAACATCCTAGAATTCTAGTGCCAGAAGTGACATTAGAGATTATGTAGTGCAATCCTCTCATTTTGCAAACAAGGAAACAGGGTGAAAGAGGGAATGTGAGTTACCCAAGGATATAAGAGAAGACTGGAATCTAGGTCTTCTAACTCTTGGTCCTGTCCTTGTTGTGAAGGTAGAAGAGGCAATTATCCTGTGCTTCCTAAATGGGCCCAAACTTATGAATAAGTAGAGTGGATAGTCCATGGGAATTTTCAAGTGTAAATGAAAAAGAAAGCTATTATTCACTTGAAGTCGTTCAGTTGTGTCCAACTCTTCATGACCCCATTTGGGGTTTTCTTGGTGAAGATACTGGAGTGATTTGTCATTTCCTTCTCCAGTTTATTTTAGAGGAAACTGGGTTAAGTGACCTGCCTAGGGTCACCTAGCTAGTAAGTGTTTGAGGCCGGATTTGAAATCAGGAAGGTAAGTCTTCCTGACTCCCAAGTCCAGCACTCTATCTACTGTGTCACCTAGCTGCCCTTACTTGAAGTACAACTGGGTGTTTTGTGAGTGTCCTATCCTGTTTACTTTAACAGAGTAGTTGAGAAACAGGTCAGTATTTTAACTACACACTTATAGACTTAAATATGTTTGAAGGATCATATATCTTGAGCTAGTAGGCTGACTAGTCATAAGATCACAGAGTTATAACTGAAGGGATCTTACAGACCATTTAACAGATTTGGAAAATAAGGCGCAAGTTGGGTAGGAGACGTGTGTGTGTGTGTGTGTGTGTGTGTGTGTGTGTGTGTGTGTGTGTGTGTGTGTGTGTGTATAAGGCAATCCAAACCAAAGTCCTCAGCTCAGGTACAGTGCCCTATCCACTGTGCAGCCTCCTTGTTTCACAAATGAAGAAACTCAAGTTCTAGGGATGTTGTGACTTGTCTAAAATCACCCTGGGGGTGTCATATACGATAGATAATTCTGCAGGTGCAAATGATGGTAGCATGATGTTAAGGAAAGCCTGGTTCAGCTGCATAACTCTCAGCAATCCACTTTATTTGTCTAGACCTCGGTTTCTTCATCCACAAAATGTCATGGTCAAGGTTAGAAGGACTGTAAGAAGATAGATAACTAACATATTCTCCATTGATGGAACTGTGAGTTGGCCCCACCATTCTGGAAAACAATTTGGAATTATGTGAGAAAAGGTACAAAACTATTCATAAATGCTTCAATTCAAGGATCCCGTTATTGGGTTTATGTTCCACAGAGGTCATTGACTAAAAATTTAAAAAGATTAAAAAGCCCCCTTTTTTCCCAGAATACTCACAGTATCACTGTAATAATAAAAATCTTACAAACAGATTGGAGAATAATAGCTAGACAAATTGTGTCATATGAATTTAATGGAATGGTATTGTACTATAAGAAATGACAAGAATTCAAACAAACACAATAATAAGTAAATAAATAAAAGACTTGTTTGTATGACCTTTGACAAGTCACGTAACCTCTCTGGGTCTCATTTTTTCTCATCTGTATAAGAAATGAGAGGGCTGGACTAGACAACTGCTTAAGTCTCTTCCTTATCTCTCTTTTGTGGCCCTGTACAGCAGAGTTAAGAAAGCAGAACCAGAAGAATAACATACACAGGGGCTACAATAAAGTAAATGAAGATCCCACTAGAAAAAAAAAATGGAATTCAGGTCAAATATGGTGGTCAGTGTTAGTTCCAGATGGCTGAAGCAAGAATACACCCACATTTTCTGTTAAATGATAAAATCACATGTAAGACTGCAAAGTTACATGTACTATCAGTCACAGTTGCTTAAAGCATTTTAATTTTATTTTGGGGGTGGGGGAGGTGCTATGCAAAGGCTGTTTATTGGGAAGTGATCAATAGGTCAGAATGTATCAATATATTTTTTTTAACTGAAAGAATTTGGACTCTGGAACTATACATCTCAAAGCCCCTTCTAGAGGTATCATTGGGTATGCTAAAAAGAGCACAATTTTGGAGTCAGAGGATCCGGGTTTGAATCCCAGCTTTGCTACTGGCCTCAGGCAAGACCTTTTTTTAAAGCACTTTGGGCCTCAGTTTCCTTATTTGTCAAATGAGAAATTTGGACTAAGAACCAATCTAACTCTAAATCCAAAGCTATGACATTTTATTCTATATATTTTAATGTCCAATGTAACTTCATACACTTCTAAATGTGGTAGATTCAACATGGGAATATGTTTTTCTTCAGATATTCCATGCCAGGCTCCGTCTCCCGCATGTTCCTTTGTACTGTTCAGTTAGTCCTTTTTAACCTTGACCAACAGCAAGACTGTTTTTTCCCCTGGTCATTCTCTTTGCCCACCACTAGATGCCTCCTGCTGCCCAGCTCTGAGGCTGCTTTGGGTCATTGTTATTCTCTGAAAGCCAAGCCTGCTAGGGTGAAAGAGAGACTGCCTCTAGTTCTCTGAAATGTCCTTTGGTGCTTGGTTTTTTCCGGGTTAATAAGGAGCTAAAACTAGGATTTTACAAGAGCATTCAAGTTTATTGTAATTACGAATACAAAAATGTACATACAAAGCAATAGAAATTTACACATTTACAGTTTGGGTGAACATTCTCTACGTTTGTGCTGCATTCCCTGTGTAATTCGACACATTGGCTTTGTTCCCTTCCCCTGCCAGACACTCACATGCATAACAATCTCTCTGAACACAACACTCGCCTGATCTCACTACAGATTCCCTGGGCTTGGTCAAAATATCGGTCAGTCCAGTCCAAGGAGCAAAACGACATACTCGACTTTGAATATTCTTAGACTTTAATCACTTTCCTTTCCCTTTTCAACCAGCCTCCTTTCACTGTCTTTTTGCTGAATTTAGCGCCAGCAGCAAAACTTCAGGAGAGAAAACAGACCACAATGCCCTCCTTGAAGTTCCTTACACTCATGTTGGCCAGGAAAATGGCCACTGTCTAATATCAATGGGCATTTGTAATGCCGCTGGCTAATTAGATTTAGCAACTATGTACCGGAACTCTCTGGAAATTTTACACAATAATTGAGCTTTGATCGCCAAAGCAGCGCTCTTGAAATCTGTGGCTTTCACTAGCAACCAAATAAATAAATAGGAATAAATAAGAAAAATAAATAAAGCAAATTCACATTGACCTAAATGGAATTTTTACGTCTCTTTTTTCCCCCCAACTGTTTGTTCATCTTTTAGCACTTTCACTAAACACTGCTTTAGAACTAGATATGTAAGGTGAAATAGGTTTCCTGGGGGTCTCCCCACCCCACCCTCAACCGTCTGGCAACTGTTGGCTCCTTTAGAATGTGGATATGCGAGAGGTTTTGTATGCGTTCTCTTTAAGACTGTCAAAGATCGCCTTCGTACCATTTTGCCACTGGAGAACGAGATCCATTGGGGTTTTCCCATCCTGTTCGGAAGAGAAAGGAACATTTTACTTCCAGGTGGAAAGGACTGATAAATTCACAATTACAAGATTTGTTTGTTGTTTAAATACAGCAATGTATCCTTTCATGGTGTGCTCTTTGCAGCTGATGTTCAGCCTCGTGGTCCCATATGTGTGCGTGATTCCTTTATTATAAATTAGGTAGCCAGGGTAGTACTTTTGAAGTCCTCCAAGCCACTTAGGCAACATTGAGAAAGAGTTCTCATCGCTGTTTCCTCCCTTCTCTTTTGAGGGTTCACACACTGGTGCCAGGATAGTTAGGTTAACTCATGTCAAATTATTTTGAACTTGCTATCAATTACATACATACATTTAGAAATTCGCTGCTCCCCTGTTTTTATCATGTTTTTATTTCTGCTGCTAGAAAAAGTGGCATTTTTTCTAGTCCTGCTATTTCTATGCCCACATGTAGAGGTGAACCTTGCTTTAAGAAAATCTAAACTTAATCAAATAGATAAGAATCTAAGAAATGCCATACTTCGTGAAAACTGTGGCTTATTCAGCCCAGGGACTTGTCTCTGAAAACAACCTAGAGAAGGCTCGCAGGAGAGTATGATCTTCCATCATGATATCAACTTCAAAGGTTAGACTCTATCCCAGAACATTTTTTTCCTCACTCTCCTTGGTAGCTGGGATTATAAGAGTGTGTTACCATGCCTGGCTAGTGAACTTATTTTTTAAAAAATATTTTTATAAATGTATTGCAACATAATTTGTTTCCTTTGTAATCCTAGGTGTTTTATTTTCTGCATTTAAAAATATTATTTTGTTAAGGTGCTCAGATTCATATAATCTAGCCACTGCTCAGCTATCTACCCAATAGCTTACAGATGGTCAGATTCCTTAAGAGTCTAGCTAATATGGTGGATCTTTAATAAACCTTGTCTTTGGCTGAAAAAAATATTATTTTGAGGAGTCCATAAGTTTCACCAGACTTGCCAAAGGAAAGGTGGTTATTCATGTGACAAAAGGATTTTCTGCTCTACCAAAAGATTCTTTGAAATAGTGAGTTCTGGGAGTGCACTTAGAAATGTTTTGATTTTAAAAAGGCAATTTTCTTTTCTGGATGGAATAAATACATTATGTAAAGTGAGGTATAATGTGGTTCAGGAAATGTAGAATGTTTTTGACAAATACTACATTTAAGGCATGTTATTTTTAATTAATTGTACTAATTAGAAATAATAAGCTTGAAAAGATAGAATCATTCGACTTATTTTGCACAAATAAATCTACATAAACTTAGTCTCATTACCTTTTTATGGACATCTGCCTCAGGATTTATAGTTTGTAAAGGACAAAAAATTTTAAATCTAGGCCATTTTTAAATGAAATTTTATCTTATAGAAATGTTACATCCTCCATTTTTATGTCTATTTTCTAGGTGGCATTTTGACATCTAGGTTTAAGGGCAGGGATCATGCCTTATGTATTCTTGCTTCAACGAACATTAATTTATGAAGTCTCTCCTGCATACCAAGCACTGCTGTAGATTCTCAAGGAGATACAAAAATAAGATACAGCCCTTTTCCAAATGGAACTCACAAGGGATATGGTACATATACAAATAGCCTTAATTCAAAACAAAGCAGAAGATATGTACACTTTGTTGTGTGCAATGTATTGTACACAGCAGGTGCCTAATAAGTGTTGAATGAATAAATTATATTTACTTTTAGAGAAGATGACTCTGAGCACACAATGGAGGAGGGATGATTATATGCACAACTCAGAAATTAAATTAAGATATGAAGGAAGTATACTTAACTCAAATGGGGAGTAGTGGGTTGTTTGGTTTTTTTTTTAACAATATAAGAGTATTTGTCCTCTTAAAAATAATTCATAGGCTTGGGGTTTTTTTTAGTGCTATTATTTTTATTATCCTGTTAATGGAATATTTTAAGGGGAGCCTGAAGGCAAATTGAAGTTGAGGGTTATGGCAGTTCTCTCAAAATATAGACAAAAGAATGTCTTGGAAAAAAGTCTGGGGGAGCTGGTAGCAGGCAGGAAGAGGAGGGCAACAGGGAGGATGGTACCTAAATTATCTAACTTAGACGTCAACATTAGCTGGAATTCATTGCGTCATTGCTCTGCTCTCCATTCTAAAATTTTCAAATATTTCAGGAAGGGAGCAGGAGCGGAAGGGGTAGCTCCTCTCTAAATGCCCCTTGGGCTTAACTCAGCTGTTGGTGTTCAAGGCAGGCAGTATTTCAGTGACTCATGAGTCTTACTGTGAAAGGGAATGCTTCTGATCGCTCTCTTGTCTTGAAGTCCAAACTTAAAGTTGGGAAGGAAATATTTTGCATAGAAAAGAAGTGACTTTGAAGTGGAAGCAGTCACTGTATTTCAAGAACAGGGCTTTGCATTGCAGAGCTATTTTTTCTTGAATAAAAGAGCAAATTAAAAGTCATCTAACTATTAAATGAAGGATTCACTTAACATAATGGAAGTTTTACCTATCTCTGGCCAACTGACCTAAGTCTTCCCCACTGTCACCATGGAAACCACTGGTGATTTTGGAAGAGACTATCTCCTCTCCTAAGAGAGTCACAGAACCCCCTAAAACATGTAGCTATGTGAATTTTTTTGAAGCTGAATTTAGGGCAGAGCCAGAAAGGACAAGGCATTCATGCTCCCTAGGAAAAGTGTGAAAATTATGCTTTTTCTGTGTTATTATTAGGTAGAAGCTTTGAGCTTTTAGAAATGTTTAAAAAATATATTATGTGGCTATAACTCATGTTATTTGACATATCATAAAACAAAAGTCATGCCATAGGGAAGATTCATAGACATTAAAAATGTGTGCTTTTATATAAAAAGTAATATTGAAAGGTATCCTTAATTGTTCTTGCCCTACTCCTTATCCCCTCCCCAAATATATCCACCCTGTGTGTTATGGTTTAGATGGCTTCCTATTCTGCCCTACCCCCAGTCCCAGTCCTGATTAAAAGGAATCCTTCAGTAGATAGAACATTTGGCAAGTGATGTAGGTGACTACTCACGCAGTTCTTGGCATTGAGATTGGCTCCATACATAATCAGCAGTCTTATCATTTTGTAACGGTTCAGCCTGACAGCATCATGCAGAGGTGCGTCCCCTTCCTAAGAGAAGGAGAATAAACAAGCTAAAGAAAAGCTGTAACAACCTCAAGTGCAGTTAGTAAATCCAAGGTTTGGAGACAGAATTTCAATCCCTTTGACTTACCCGGTCTCTGGCATTAAGGTCAGCTTCACATGCGATGAGGTGTTCCGCACACTCATATCGGCCTGTCCTCACAGCCACATGCAGAGGTGTACTGAGCAGCTAGATAATCATAAGTGTTGACAGTCAGAGACACATGGTAAGAAAAGAACCCACACAACCTTCCTTTAGTCACCAACTACCATTGCTGGAAAGAGGTGGCAAAATTGACAGTGGAATTTTTATATATAAGTAGTATGACCTCAGAATGGAGTTTCCACTGCTAAGCCAATGAGGAATTTTACCTTATCTCGAGCGTTGACGTTTGCCCCTTTGTTTAGCAAAAACTTCAGAACATCCAGGTTCCCACCACGACATGCCCAGTGAACAGCAGTGGACTCAAGCTATATAAAGACAGCAACAGAATATGAGATGCTATATGCTAGAAAGCAACACACTAGGACAGGTGGGACATAGCCCCTAAAAATCAGTGACAGCATGAGTGTTGGCAGACAGAAGTTGGCATACGGGGTGACAGAACCTCTGTGGCATCAAGGTGCTTCAGGTTGTTGGGGTCTCCTTTACTCTTTTTGTCATGGACAATTGTTTTTCCTCACTTTTAGTTAAAAACAAAAATTTTTATAAGTCTGTGTTCCACCTAGTGCTTAACATTCTGCGGGATAGGTATTACTTCTATTTCTGTATATCTGAACAACCTACAGGCTCTTAATAAATGTTAGTGATACATAAGTAGGCAGAGTGTTCACTCTCAGAAGTGATAGCTAAAACACAGTAGAAGCTTAGAACAAATCTTAATTGTCTGCTGCTCACTCTTTCCCTCACCCAATCCGTTGATACGATTTCCAGTAGTCATGGATGCTGACAACTTCCGGACCTACAATCTACAGTTACTGCATGCTATATGTATTAATAGAAGCTTCCACCACAGCAGCTAAATTTAATGAGATTTTGGTTTTCGGAGTGCCTCCTGCCACTGGCGTTAGCGTTTCTGTCCAAATCCAATGTAGGGTGCAGCTGCCAGTGGCTTTTGGTTTTTTTGTTTGTTTGTTTATTTATTTGTTTATTTATAATTCTCAATGTTTAGCTTAAAATCGACTGTAGAGATCTTTTTAAAGAAATCTATTTCCTCTACTCCCTGTGCCCTACCCTTTGTTACATGCTCCCAAATTAAACTTCTTTAAGAAAATATCATTTTCTCATTTATTGAGCAAATCTACAAAGTATATGAATCTGTAGAAATCTCAGCCATTCAGTTAGTGAGGCCTCTAGAGGGGGCACTTTCCATAAACCCACTTCATTTAGCATACACTAAATCTGAGAATCTCACTGATACAGTAAGCACACGCACACGTATGAGTGTACAGCCTCCATATGCTGCTGATGCCGTGTCACCACTGATAAGTACATAGTGAGATTGTATGTTATGAGAGGGCAATGTACTGAAAGGGACAAATTGACTATTTTTTTCTCTAAAGTGCTACTGACTCAATCACAACACAGTATCCAGACCACAATGACCACAATGAACACTGTTTGGAAACAGATTTCCCTTCTTCCTCTTCTATATTCCTTCCCTTCCTGCTCAGAGTGAAAGGAAAATATATTCCCCATGACTGCTTTCAGCCACCGTCCTTTTTTCTTTCTGTGGAGAAGTTTTCTTCTTTATGACCTGACCTTTCTCAATTTTCTCAGTCCTTTCAGCCAGATTTTTCACTGTGGCTTGTTTTTTCTTAACTGTCAAGTACTCTATTCATCTTTCCTAAGTTTCAAGCTATTATGTTTCTTTGGACAAGGCTTGAACATCTCTGGTCTTCAATTTCCTCATCTATAAAATAAGACCTCTATAAAAATGACATCTGAGGTCCTTTTCAGCTTAGGAAGGAAGGAAGGAAGGAAGGAAGGAAGGAAGGAAGGAAGGAAGGAAGGAAGAAGGAAGGAAGGAAATAAGGAAGAAGGAAGGAAGGAAATAAGGAAGAAGGAAGGAAGGAAGGAAAGAAGAAGGAAGGAAGGAAGGAAGGAAGGAAGGAAGGAAGGAAGGAAGGAAGGAAGGAAGGAAGGAAGGAAGGAAGGAAGGAAGGAAGGAAAATATTTACCATATCACGGAATTCAATTTGGGCTCCAGCATTCACTAACTTTTCCACGATGGCCAAATGTCCTTGGGAGCATGCTCGGTGAAGAGCTGTCCGTTTGTACTATTGAAAAAGACAAGGGACAAGGCAATAAATATGAAAACTCTGTAGAAATCCATTCCTTCCTCCTCAAAGTGACAGGTTGCTTAACTCCTGGGTTTTCTGGTACTTAAGATCTTGATGTCAAGTTTGCTAAAATTTCATAGCAAACTCTCAGTACCAAGCTGCCTGTCAGACATATAATAAAGATGTTGAGGTCTGTAGTGCAGCATGCAAATTTAAAAGGTTCAGAGGCACTTACATTTTGGAGGGTTTTTTTCTTTATTATATTTTGTAAATTCATTGTATACTCAGCACTTGCCATAAAAAAATCAAGCAGTTACCTTCCATCTGGGGATGTGGAAGATTGATTTTGTAGCTGATCTCAAAGACCCATCTGATTCATTTCATAGTCACAAAATACAAAGTTTTGAAGAATTTTCACAAATAAAAATAATTTACATTTACATGACTCTTTGTGGTTATTATACATATTATACATATAAGATTTCAGGTTGGCATTTGTAAGTATAAGTTGACCTCAATGGTCCCTCCCTTCTCTAAATATATGATCCTATAATCCCAACCTTGCACATGAAGAAACTAAGTCTCAGAGAGATTCAAGGTCTTGAACCAAGTCATAGCCGATAAATGGTGCAACCAAGATTAGGCTCTAAACCTTCTGAATTCAGATACACTGCTCTCCCCATAGTGACTCATTGCCTCTGGAACCATGCAGAAGCAATCTAGTACCTTTGGTGGGTTTGTTTCATATATGTAGATTTATCTTCCTAGCGAATATTAGTATATTTTGATCCAAACAATCCCTTTCAAACAAACAAAGGTGATGCCTAAACTATGTTTTCCTGTGGTTGACTTGATTGATCTGAATAATGTAAATAATAAGTATCTTTCCCTCTTCACTCATCTGGAAGGATGTTTTAAAAAGTTCAGCCATATAATTATTTTACTTTGTTAGGAGGGAAGGTTCCTTGGGTGGGTATCCTATGGAGAGCAGTGGTAAATGACTGTGATGGGAAAAACCAAAGGCATCAACAGAATAATATTTTTAAAACATTAAATTATTTCTAAAAAATCAGACAAAGGCAAGGAAGACTTAAGGAAGAGGGGAGCAGAGCATGGTGCAAGGAGGAGATCATTATTTGGGCTATCAAGTTCCTTGTTGCATGCAGCCAGGTTATTGCACAGGTGACAGGGTCTGGTGAAAGTGTTTCCAGGCGCTAAATTTGGGGGTGCTTCCCAACAACGTCGTGGTAAAGCATCAGAAACAGAAAAGGGACAAGATCTGAGGAAAGGGAGGAGGTCTTGATGGAGATTTATTAAAGCATAGTTAAGGGACTTACTTCATCACATGAATCTGGATCTTTCTCGTCAGATAAGAATTTTTCAATTACTGGAAGCTTGTTGTCCAGTGCAGCCTTCAGAAACCTCTGCACATCCACAGGTTCTGTCTAAAGACCAAGACAATTGCATGTGTGTTACTGTGGTTGCTCTAACAGTCAGCCAGTCAACAAACATTTATTAAGCACTTACTATGTGCCAGGCACTGGGCTAAGCACTGGGGATACAAAGAAAGGCAAATCTATGGTCTCTGCTCTCTAGGAGCTCACATTTTAATGGGGGAAAATATGCAAATAACTATGTTCACATAAGAAATACATAGTGTGAATGGAAGGTATTTTTGGAAGAACAGACTATATCACAGACTTACATATATCAGCATAACAACCATTCAGACACTAGACCAAAGTTCTTACTACATCCTTATAGGACTTACTATAATTTCTGGTTCAGGTTCCTTTAAAACTGGTACTTTGATTTTCTAGTGTGAATGGAAGGTATTTTTGGAAGAACAGACTATATCACAGACTTACATATATCAGCATAACAACCATTCAGACACTAGACCAAAGTTATTACTACATCCTTATAGGACTTACTATAATTTCTGGTTCAGGTTCCTTTAAAACTGGGACTTTGATTTTCTTGTATTTTTTCCTTTTCTTTAGTTGAATGATAGTTTCAAGGTCTTGTAAATTTTCAAGCTTTGATCTTTGTTCCAGTTTTTTCTTCTTGAGCTGAAAAATAAAACAAAACAAAAAACTAACATTGCACACTCTGGTGACCCTTCTGCAAAGAGTACCCTAAGGACAGATGTTCTTCACCTTTTTGGAGTCCTGGTCCCATCTGGCCATTTGATGAAACCCATGGAGCCCTTCTCAGAATAATGTTTTCACATGTGTAAAATAGAATGCGTAAGATTACAAAGGAACCTAATTATATTGAAATAATTTTTAAAAATATTAAAAAAGAAAAAAAAAGAAATCAAGTTCATATCTCACAGGTTAAGAACTCCTGCTCTCTGGACTATATCTATATGCAGAAGGTGAATTACTAGGGGCAATTGTATAGTTCAAGGAAATTTTGTTTTTTTCTCATAATATAGATTAAAATGGAAGTCTGGGCTTGACTTATTCAGATAATTGCCTCCATTCCCCATTTCACTCTGCATGTCTGTGCAAGTGTAGGACAGACTAACCCCTAAATGTTGGTACTTCCATGATAAAGAGACCTCAGGTCTTCATAGCTGTTATCATCACCACACAAAGTATGATGTGGTGCAGGAGGTTTTAGGAAGTCAGGCAACCTAAGATACATCCCTGCCTCTGTCTCTATCTAGCTGCAGGATTCTGGACAAATCATTTAACCTCTTTAATTTTCAGTCGATTTATGAATTGAAGTGGTTGGGTCCTTTTGGGTCCCTTGCAGCTCCACCACAGATTCTCTGAAACTCACTTTTCTTTCCCTTTATTGCACATGATTTAATCGTTTGAACAGAACTATGGACACCAGTAAAAATAAATCTCAAATCACTTAAAAAAGAGACCTGTAGAGACCTGTGTCTGAGGACCTGGGTTAGAATCTCAATTCTGCTGCTCACTGGCAATGTTACCTTAGATAAGTCATTTAATCATGCTTACTCTCAAGTTTACTCATCTGTAAAATGAGAGAATAAGTCTGGATGATTTCCAGTGCCCCTTCCCTCAGTTCTAAATCCATGATTCCATACCCTATTCTTTGAAACACTTGTAATCCTGTGATTCTAACATTTATCCATACCTACACATTTTACTTCTTTACTAGTAGGTTTATCACACTTGAAACTCCATTCTGTAGGTTGGCTGTCTACACAGGCAAGGAAATCAGAGAAAGTAAAGCAATTATCCAGGCTCTTGCTGTAGTGGACAATAAACCAGGTAATTGAGGGGAAAGTCATCATCTTGATTTGAATTGGTTAGCCTCTAAGACTTATCACCTTTCCGTTTCATTTTGGTCTGTGCAAATATGACCATAGGACATGACTTGGGATCCAGTGCTGATAGTCTTGTCAGACTGCCTATTAGGTTATGAGGGAGATTCTTACAATCTGTCTCTTTGAATGACTTGACTTATTCAGACCTCCATTTCTATTTTACTCTGCATGTTTGTACAAGCACAGAAACAGACTGAACACTAAGTGTTGGTACTTTCATAGTAAAGAGACCTCAGGTCTTCACAGTTACTATCATCAGCGCACAAAGTGTGATATAGTGGAAGAAAAAAAGTTTGAGGAGGTCAGGTAAACTAAGATGCATCCCTGGCTCTGCCACTATCTAGCTGTGGGATCCTGGGCAAATCACTTAATTTGCCCATTTTGAAGAGATTTTTTTTCAAAAGACTTTGTGCTATCTTAGGCAGGGGATTTAGGTATTATGAGACTTTATAGATCATCTACTTCCTTTTACAAATAGGTAAACTGGGCCTTGAACAGATAAAATGGCCTTCATTCTAGTAAGTAACAGAATCAGAATTCAAAACTAGGTGCTCAGGCTTCTGACCCATCACTCCTTCAACTACACCATACTATATCTCTGCTTTTGATGTTTTCTTGGCCCCACTTCCACCAGCTAAGATTTGTGAGGACAGAAAAAAAAATCATGGGTGCCACCAAACTTTTCTTTTCTTACCTCTGCCTCTCGCTGCTTCTCATTCTGTGAGGTTTGACTTTCCCAGATCAATGAGTGTCTTGGAAGTGTCTTCAGGTCCTCTTGCTTCTCCAGGGTCACAGCAGCTTCATATTGTCCATTTCTGAAGTCCTCTGGGAGGAAGTCCCTGGTCTCCCCACTCTCATTCTTCTTCCCTGTCACCTACAAAAGCAAAAGAGCATTTGTCTCAAGGAAATTCGAAGGATGCTGAATTCTCCTCTAGCTGCTGATTCCCTAGGGAAATTCTACCTTGGCAGAAAGAGTAGGTTTAGAATCCGAGTTATAAACTTCGATGAAAGGACTAGCCACAAATATTCTCAGGTTGTTATGAGGTGATTCCTTTTCACCATACTGGGCAAATGAAGGATTAGTTTAGGTAGATATGTTTTTAAAATATCCTTTTTGTTTGCTTAATCAAAATCTCCCTCTGCCACTTGCTCCCCAATTATTAAAAACTCATAAGACTAGTTCTTTAAAATTTTTACCATTGAGTTTTTAGGAGGTTTTAAAAATGTTATATTATTTAATTCATCCCAATATCCTTGGCTTCTATGAAGTATATCCTTTCTTCTCAGATATCTTGATAAATACGACCATTCAGCATTCAGCAATAAATCAAAAGAGAGCCATAATTCAAAGTATGCCACTAATTTACTATCAAACTTCTCCATTTTCTAATCAATAACATGTCCTATCAGATTACAATAAATTCTTTTCACATATGGCTTGGAAATATGAAAGAAAATGACATACTCTTTTCCCAATAACAACCAGACCTAGGTCTCTAGTCTACATCAAAAACAGGTTTTCAATAATACATACATACATACATACATACATATATAGGTGAATCTGTACCTACCAGATCCTCTAACTTCAGCAGCATCATCTTTGCCAGTCCTTGGTTTTTAGACAATAATCTTACTAGATGACACCCCTAAGTCAATTCTGCTGAGACTCACTGACCAAGTAGGCCTATATATATGATGGGAGGAGGAAGGCTGAGTGAGATAATCTTCCAACCTGGGAACCCAAATAACCTCCTTGCTCCTCCCACCACTAGTCAACTCAGAGGCAGGTGAATGTTCATTCCAGACCCAGTGTCTGGGAGTCAGGGAAGCACAGGGAGGGAGGGGCATTGCAGTCTCACCACACTGAATATGTGAATCAGGGGGAAATGTGAGATGCCCATTCCACTGGCAGTGACAACATAGCTCAGCAATGCTAGTCATCTGATCCATCAAGTGCCCATGGGACAGCTGTCTGTTGATATTGCACCATATCTCTACATTTTTTCCCTTTCCTTGCCAGCTTTTGTGTGAGTAACATATCAAGAAAATGTAAATGCCCCATGTATCACACTCACAATAATATCTTTCTGATAAGCAGACTTATCAGCACTTCCCTTATGGGAAATGGGGCTTCAGAACATGTAAACATCTTTAAAGGACAGGGTGTAAGTTCCTGACAGCACTTGTCTATATCTGTTTGGAATTCTCTTGAGGGTTATTGAACCAGAATGATGTCTGGGGCTAAAAAGACCCCATGACATGATATAGTGCCATCATTAGAAGAACTCAGAAGGATCCAGCTATGCATTTTGACTTAATGTTGTCACTGGACCTAATATAGCACACTGGGACTCTCAATCTCTGTATTGAAAAATAAAATAAAAATTGTACCCTTTAAAAAATATTTTCTGAACTGATTCCAATGATCTATGTCGCCAGCAAAGAAATTAAGGGTCTAAATTTAGATCTGGAAGGGACCTTAGAGGTCATTCCAACACCCTCATTTTAAAGATAAGGAAACAGGCCTAGAGGGGTTAAGTTATTTATACACTACTCGCAGAGGTAATAAGTAACAGAGTCAGCATTAGAACCTAGATCCTTTGACTTCAAATCCAGCCATGTGGCCACTGTGCCATGCTGCTTTCCTGTATGTTTGCAGTGGGATGATGTGAATCGTTTCATATAGAGTCTGGTTTTATGCTCTATTGGGAACTAAATGAATAGTCCCCCGAGAACTGAGACCCTCATGCTGTTTTGAAATTACCATTTCATATGACTAAGAGCAGGAACAGACTTTAGATGTTACCTATTTCAAGCCTTCTCATTTGCAAGATAACAAAACTGGAGGCCCAGAAAGATCATCCTTTACCTGACACCATGACCAAAGTAACAGTCAAGGAATGCAAGCCCAGGTCCCCTGGCTCCAACCCAGTACTCTTTCCACTTTCCCACCTACTCAAATGGAGTCAGGGAAGTCAAATAAGGAATAGCCACCCCATTGTAGGACTAACCAGGGCTTGTGAGACATGTGGCAGGTGAAAGATGAAATGACTAAGGAAACAAAGGCTCAGGCTTCTGAGCATTTCAATTTATTAAGCAATGCATGCCAACTGCCTAACAAACGGGGACCAGGCCCCTTCCCCAGCTTAGGGCTGGCCCTTAAATACGAGGGGAAACAGACTTTTATACATTAAAAAACGATTACTCAAAAAAGGTCAATTGATTAAAAGGAAGTAATTGAACAGGATACCATTAGGTAATCTGATCTCTATTGGAGGGAAGATTAGGGAGTTTCTAAGTTAGGAGGAGGAGAGTAAAGAGTTGCAATTCCCTGAAATCAGAAAAGGAAGTGTTCCACTCCCAACTCCCCACCCCCCAATGTCTGTGAACAATCAAAAGAATATGGAAACAGTAACTGATGGATCACTACAGGGCCAGTATTCAGATAAGACACATGGGTTGCTTGAGCTGTGCCATTGAGAGAAAACTCCTTGCATCAGTCTTTGGATCTAAGTGGATTTCTGGGCAGTATAACCAAGGTCCTTAGTTAAGGGTCTCTAGGTATCAGGTAGATGTGGTCCGGGGCTAGGTTAAAACAATGCCATAAGGGTTTCTCTCACTTCCCACAATTGAATAGTTTTCTCACAAGACAGAAATTGGACTAGACCTAAAACTGAATACAAAGGGATGTGAGCTAGATCCAGAATTGAGTCCAAGACAGAGTCAGTGTGGTTCACTCAATTCCCATAACCTCCTGCTGCTCCAATCCCTTCAATTCTCTCAGTTTCCTCAATCATGAAGGGACAAGGTGAGATTAGTTACTTTGAATTAATTGCTTTGAATTCCTAGACTGTAAGCTCTGTGAGAGCAGGGACGGTGTCTTATCTAAACTTTGCATCTTCTCCAGTACCTAGTACAGTGTTCTGCATGCAATTGGTGCATAATATTGAAAGAGGCTGCTAGAAAGTTGTGTAGAAAAGCTGCCAAAGGGTGAGTGTAGTGAGGCATAAACCTGTGATTCCAAAGTCCTTGTAAAGTCCTGGAGGGAGTGAAGTTCAAGGCCCAGGGCAAACAACAGAATACATTCCTAGCCTATATATCCAGGCAAGTCCGTGCTGGAGCCAGACGGAACCTGCTGGTCAGCCGATTGTTAAATTTTTGGTATGAGCATTTACACTTCAGAAACTGGTAAATGATACAAATCAGGGATTGATTTGTTGTTTTCTTGGTTGTCTGGATTTAAGAAAATGATGGGAGAAATATCAATAATTAATAGAAATTAAATTAAATAATAAATAAATTAAAATTAATTTATATTTTTATATATCATAATTTATATCAATCAATAGAAATTTTAAAAATTAACAGAAATAATTTATAATTAAAAGTATGTCACGCCTACACTTTTCCTCCCAGAGAGCTGGTTGTTAAACATTTACTAGCATACTGCTGTATCCAAGGAAATTAAGTTAAAATGAACACAAAGGGGATCTTTTAACTAGGAAAGAAGTCATAAAACATGCAACCACAGGGAAGTGTTGTGGAAGAAAGAGATGCTGGTCTACCAATTTTGTCTTGCCGAAGGAAGAAGAGGGAGAAGTTATGGGCTAATTGTGTTTTGATGAGTCTAGATTTTTTGGTTTGGTGGTTGTTGTTTTTTTAGTATCAATGGACAGAGCTAATTCCTCCTACCAGCTGCTTCTCTGAATCTCTGCCAATAGATTGGGGCTATCACCCTATTTATTATACCCTAGAGAAAGCTGTGAACGGAAGGATTTTTCCCAGTGGTCAACGCTTTATGAATGATGTATGTTAGAAACAGTTGTCCTGGAACGAATGAGACCCAGATATTAGTCCCCAAAGTGACCTTGAGCAAATTTCTTAACTTCTCTAAGAAGAGAAATTGTCTCCTCACCTGTAAGATAGGTGTGCTATTATGGTGTAAATTATTAATTATAGTTATAAACATTAAGGTATAAATTATTATTTAAACCCTATGTACCTCCCAGGATCATTATGAATGTAACAGGTAGCCACACAGGGTTGTCCTGGCTTCCTTCCACCCAGTTCCATACCTAAAAATGTCATGGGTTTGATAAAGACTGCCCCAGGGTTTACTTTTCATTTCTATGATTCCCTAGACCAAAACTTCCCTCAGTGGCTACTATTTCTCTGTGAGTGTTATGTCCCTCTTTTAGAATGTAAATTGCTTAAAGGCAAGGATTGTCTTTGTCTTGCATCTGTGTCTCCATGGTTCGTAGTAGTCACTTAACATGCTTCATTCATTCATTCATTCATTCATTCTTTCTTTCTTTCTTTCTTTCTTTCTTTCTTTCTTTCTTTCTTTCTTTCTTTCTTTCAGAGGCACACAAGATTTTGGAGAGTTGCATGAAGTTAGACAAGGATGAATGTGAGGGATCCAGAGTACAACTGGGGAAAAAGTGGGGTGCCCTTGTTGTCAGGGCATACCCTTGTAAAGTAAGAGTTCTGCAGAACTAGAGTACAAAGGAAGAAATTTTAATTACACTCTTTTTTTTTTTTTGCAAGACATCAGAGTTGGAGGCAGGGAGTTTTCGAATACCTGGCTAAGACAAAGGAGCTAATGAAGTATTTCCCACCTCTTAGAGACAGCTTTGCCTAAGGACTGGCCGGAAGTGGTGGAAGAGGACAGGCTAGGAGGGACTGAGGGGGACACACAGAGTGGAGGGAAGGAAGCAACATTGCGCAGACCTAGCCAAAGAACTTACGGAGAGTTGCAAGCAGAATGATTGAAGGTTCCTGAGAAAAAGATCCCGACCCCTAAATTCGAGACCTTCCAAAGACTCACCCTGGAATGATGCATTTGGGAGCAGCACAGATACCTGATCACTATTCAGGTTTCTGGAGAATCTTTATTTACTGATAAGCATCTTTATTACTAATTGACTATAAGACTAATTTGTTTTAATTGACTTATGCATTCTTTGGAGGGAGAAAGAAAAGGGAATAACATTTATTAACTGCCTACTATGTGTCAGGCACTGTGTTAAGCATTTGACAAATATTATCTCCTTTGGTCCTCACAACAACCCTGCAAGGTAGGTACCCCATTTTACAGATGAGGAAACTGAAGCAGACAGAAGGTAAGAAGTGACTTACCCAGGGTCACACAAATAATTCTGGATTTGAACTTAGACCTTCCGGACTCCAGGCACAGTGCTCTATCCCCTCTGCCACTTAACTGCCTTAGACATATTGCTAATTTACATATGTATCGCAGTTCCAGAAGTGATCAATTAATCAATAAACATTTATTAAGCTCTTTCTCCATCAGGCACTGTGTTAAGTGCTAGGGATACAAGAAACACAAAAACAGTCTCTGCCTTCAAGGATCTTACACTCTAGTCGGGAAGATAACATGATCTTCCATTTGAAAAACTCAGGATTTAAGCCAGTTTCTTTTCTTCATAGTTCTCCTTCCATTTTTTTGGAGCATTTTCTAGCTAGAGAAGTTTGTGATTGCTATCAACACTTCACTCCAATATATATGTCTTGACATAAAAAAAGCAAGACTCATTTCATATAAGCTCTGGCTGGGAAATATTTTTTTGGTCCACTGGGGTAGTTAACTAATCATTCTCCTTGCCATGCCTCTTAATCTCCTCAACCCCGATTGCCATCTACTTCTCTTGGCTCCCA